TTTACAATGGTACATACAGCAAACTAACTAGGCATCTAGGAGAAGGGAATGAGGATGATAGGACGGATCACCTGGCCAATGGGTTTAAAACGGCTTAACCATGGCGTAAATCTTTTTCTCAAGACAATGTAGTTGAGCGTGCTTATTCAGTAATTAGTTTCCCTGTATATTTCCCATCCCCAAACTCAGATTCTGCATTTCTTTTCTTTACCAGAATGCTGCCAACCTTTGATCCAAGAGATACTGAAGCTGGTTCGAGGATTTTGGAGGATATAACCAGCAATGCTGGTCATATACAAGAACAGGTCCTGGAGGAGATTTTAACTAAAAATGCAAGCACCGATTACTTGAAAAGTTTTCTTAATGGTCACTCTGATAAGGGACTATTCAAGAATAAAATTCCTGTGGTAGATTATGAAGATATCAAGATTTACATCGATCGAATTGCACTGGATGGAGAGCCATCTCGGATTTTAACTAATGAATCCATTACTGAGCTAATGATCAGGTAAATCAGTTTCTTTGATTTATTGTAAATAGATTAAAGGAAACTCCTAAATGGAGTGAGAGTAAAGTCAATAGTGCTGAAGAGCGAGTTATTTCTATTCGTTTTCATGAATTTCTTGTTTTTCTTAACTGAAAACATCAACTTCGTTGGCAGCTCGGGCACTTCAGGTGGGAAGCAAAAGTGGATTCCAAAAACTGCTGAAGAGGGAGAGCGCAGGGCCTTCTTTTTTTGTCTCCTTGCTACTGTTCAGAATAGGTAAATTCACTAATGCAATGAATTTACAGTTGTTATTTCATCAGCAGAATTATGAGAGTCAAATAAAAGGTGCTAAATGTATAGCTTTGAACTAAGGTACCTCCACGGCTTAAACGATGGGAAAGCGCTGTTCTTTGTCCTTATCAACCCGGATATCCACACTCCTGGTGGCTTAGTTTTAAGAACAACTACAGCAAGCGAGATAAAGAACAGAAAAGACAGATATCCTGAGGTTATATTGTGTGAAGATACCAATCAGAGCTTGTATAGTCAATTACTTTGTGGCCTTGTGCAGCGAGATGCGATAGTAAGCATTGGTACATTTTTCGCCTCGGGTTTGCAAAGGATAATCAAATTTTTTGAGGAACATTGGCAAGAAATGTCTTCCAACATAAGAACTGGACAAATGAGTGATTGGATCACTGACCCTAAATGCAAAAGGACTGTCTCCTTGATTTTGAGCAAACAAATGCCAGATTTGGCCGATTCAATTGATCTTGTGTGCCAAGAAAAATCTTGGGAAGGAATAATTAAGAAGATCTGGCCAAGGACCAAGTATGTCCAGGCCATAATTACTGGGTCCATGGCACAGTACATTCCCGCGCTTGAATTCTATACAGGAAGGTTACCTGTAGTTTCACCAGCCTATGTTTCTTCAGAGGCATGTTTTGGGATAAATTTTAAACCATTATGCAATCCTTATGATGTCTCATATACTTTTATACCAAACATGGCTTACTATGAGTTCATACCAATTGGTAATCATCAAGATCCAAACTGCACCAATAGCAAGGATGCTCACTTGAAAGATCACATTGTGGATCTTGCTAATGTTAAGATTGGCCAACATTACGAACTTCTTGTCACGACCTGTACCGGTAAGATCTATATACTTTTGACCTGAAAAAAGATCTCTATACTTTTGATTGACCTAATTGCATATGGTATACTGTAGACGTGAACTATAATTCTGTTAGTCTGTCCCATGAAGTACTCTGCAGACACAAAATTGCCTCTTGAACTGTTTGCATCTTATTACCAGAAGGTGTCTTCTGATTTCCATCTGAATCTATTTATCATGTTCTAAAATGGAAGTATCTCCATTTGTTTCTGCTTAACAATATGTAATGTGCAAGAGTTGTTTTGATGTTCAAATTTGTCAGATATAGGTACTGCATTCTGGTTTTTCGTGCATCTATTATCCTGATAAACATAAACAATGATGATTAGGGAGTTTAGAAGCTCAATCGCTCTGATATCTAGAATATTGATAGAAGCGTGTACTTTCAGGTTTATACAGGTACAGAATGGGGGATATTCTCCTGGTGACAGGTTTTCACAATACCACTCCCCAATTCAAATTTGTACAAAGGAGAAATGTGGTTTTGAGCATTGACACAGATAAAACAACTGAACACGACCTCCAGAATGCAGTTACAATTGCAATGCATATCCTTGAACCACTTGGGTTCTTTCTTTTGGATTACAGTAGCTATGCTGATACATCCTCTATTCCTGGTCACTATGTACTCTTTTGGGAGCTTCAACTCAGATCAAACGATGATATACCTGAACTTGATCAGGTTAAAATGGAAAAATGCTGTAGTTTACTGGAACAATCTCTGGACCTGGAATATAAGATGCTGAGGAATCAGAGCATCAGTACCATCGGTCCTTTGGAAATTAGAGTTGTGAAACAAGGAACATTCAACGTGCTCGTGGACTTTTATGTTTCTCGAGGAACTTCTTTAAACCAGTACAAGACACCTAAGAACATAAAGTCTGAGAAAGCCATTGAAATTCTGGACTCCAGAGTGGTGGGAAAATTTTACAGCAGAGAAGTACCTAATCAAGACTCGTAGCCTGTGGTCTTCAAGAATCTTTTTGCATATTTCATCCTAGGCATTCATATACCTTGTCTTGCAATGTCAAAATTTAAAAGTAATTCACCATTTTATGGATGCATTTGTGTTCTACTATTTTTCAGTTTGTTTGTGAAGCTTGGTGGATGAGGACAGTATCTGAAACTCTTGTACTCATCAAATTGAGGGCAATGCTATTCTAGTAGCAAAAGATGTTATTCTCCTCTCATGGAGTTTCCTAGTGAGAGTTTATTCTCTCTTAGGAATTTTTCGTGATGTTTTCTCCTCTCCTAGAGATTTCTAATGATAGCTTTTGTAGTTTATTCTATTTGTTGTATTATATCTAAGTTTTCTCCTATTTGGTTGTTGGACCTAAAATCTTTTAGATCTACCTCATTAGATCTCACTTTAACATCTGAATTTAAATCAGTTCATTAGTAGGTCTGGGAGAAAAGAAGCAACACAGTTGGAAGCATCAATAGATGATATTGGGGCAATAAGGGTTTTATCTTTTGATATTTTTGGGGTTTTACAGTGTAATATTCTATTGATTTTCTAGATAAGTATTTGTTTTTCAGATCTGTTTGTATCTATGTATGATTGGTATAATTATTGCCATTAGTATAGATTTAATGTTATGATGATGTTTTATTAAAAAGAAAAAAGCTGGTCAAATTTAATTCAATAATTATAAATATGGATTGCTAGGCTATGACTGGATATCAACAATATAGATGAAACTAATCTATCAAGTAGATGGGGGAAATTTAGGAACCCAAATTTGGAAGAATGGCTTGACTGGAACTTAAAACAACATGACATTATAGAGATAGAAGATGCAGATTGGCAGGTGTTTGATTCAAGAACTTTTTTTTATTTCGCCTGGTATGCTGGGAACCTATATTACTACAATTAAGATAAAATCAATGTTCAAATAGTGATAGCCCATGCCGAATTCAGTGAGGAATCTCTCACCAAGTATCATAGAGCATTACAAAAGGAGTTGAAGTTTATCAATTGCAGTAAGCCCCAAATTGGATAGGTGAAACTAAATGTGGATGTAGCACCAAGCAATGGTTTAGGACAAGCTGGAACAGGAGGACTAATTAGAGATGAAAGGGGTTACTGGATGAATGGGTTCTGTGTCAGCTTGGGAACTACAAATAACATGGGCCTCATTTGACAAGTGAATTTTTTGGGTGGTTGTTTAAAATTTTACTGCAGCTTACTGTAGAAGTTGTAGAAAATTTTTTTGAAAAATGTAAATTTTTGGATATTTTGAAATGTATAGTTTAAAAACTTTGAGACAATAAGAGATAATAAGGGCAGTCTAATCTCAACATGGTCAATCCCAACCTCATTAAGAGGAGAGGCTGCAACCTTGGAAGCTCATGCTATCAGAACTGCCTTGCTCAAAGCATTGAAGGAAAATTGGACGTCCATCTTGATACTTTCGGACTGCAAAGTTTTGGTTGACAAATTAAACCACATGAGTGAAGACCTATCTGACATCAACATTTTCCTGAGAGATATCAGGACATTAAGTAGGTCTTTTTGGCGTTGTACTTTCTCCTTTGTTAAGCGAGAAATCAACACATGTAGTCATGGTTTGGCGAAATTCACCACTAACCTTATTAACGAAACTAGGTGGAAGAATAGCTTCCTTGTGTGGACCTCTATGGCTGCACAAAGTGATTATCTGGCAGCTGCCAGCTAGTATGTACATGTCTCTATATGTATCAAAGATATTGATGATATAAATGAATGACTTTTGACAAAAAAAAAAAAAAGAATCAGACTCAAACGTGAGTTTGGAGCTAAATGACAAGGCACCTCGGGAAATCCCACACTACACTCTAATTTAACATATAAAGAGTTGGCTAGCTAAACAATGGAAGTGGGAATTGAAGTATGAATGGCACGAGGGTAACAAGTGCATGGATTATTTAGCAAAATTAAGGCGTTCTTTAATAACCCAATTCAGCACTTAAATTTAATGAGTTCAGATTATAATATATTGTGATGCATTTGATAATAAAAAATAGAACATCTAAATGACACTAAATTTTCTAATCAAAACATGCTCTAAAAAATAGGGTAAATTTATATACACTGACAGTGTATACACTTATCACATAATGTGGAATACACCCAAATATATCATGTTTAATACTTAACAATTTATTTACTTAATGAATTCAGATTTCGGATTTCAATTTTTAAAATTTAGTTTTATCAAACGGCACCCTAATTGAATTCGTTGGCACACCACTAGAAGAGTTTAGAAAATTATTGGATTTAGATGTCATGGATGTAACTATACCCAGATTGGTTGCTATTACACCCGGACAGGGTATAATAGTTTTTTTTTTTAATCAAAACGACAACGTTTCATTCATAGACAAATCCAGATTACATCCTTTGGGGCAACTGCCCTTACAATCCGCTTGAACCAACTCAAGCAACCACGCTGGGAAGTCAGACTTCCATTCAGCAGTTTCCTTCAATTTAATAGCAAAATTTGCCAAACAATGACTAACAGAGTTGTTAATCCTTCTAGTGAAGGAAAAACAACATTCATAAAAACTGGACTTTAGTTTTTTAATATCTGAGAGCACTGTTGCAATGGCTGCATCATCTTCCTCTGTATTTATTCCATCAATTACTTGCTTACAATCTGACTCAAACTCCACTCTTCTCCAACCCTGACTTTTTGCCACTAACATGGCAGCTCTTAAAGCCAATGCTTCTTCTAGCTTGGGATTTGAGCAGCTTGTATTTGGAACTGCCCAAGCTCCCACAATTTTCCTTTGCCAGGTCCTTGCAATCAATCCCCATCCTGCTCTATCCTCTTTTTGGTTAACAGCTGCATCTGAGTTAATCTTGATCCACGCCTCACTTGGTTCCTTCCAGCCACTCAGCTCCTCTTTTCCACCACTCTTAAATCGAACTAATTCCCCTTCTGCTTCTTGAGCTTCCTGATACTCCCTCCATTCCAATATAGCTTTCTGAACTACTGCCATCAGATCCCTTCCTTTAGCATCAAACTGCCTCCCATTCCTTAACTTCTAGATTTGCCATAGCAAATTCACCGTTAGGGCAATTCGTTCCGGACAAGGTGTAATAGTTAGTAATGGGTACATTGGTCGTTATGACAATGAGAACAGAGTTGAGCATACTCCTTTGGAGTCAAAATGCTTAGTTGAGACTAGCAAACTTCAAGGGGTAAAAACTCAGGGGTCATGCATTTAACTTTTTCAAATGACATATCTCCTCCGATGGGAGAATGCTATTTTTATCCAATAGCATGAGTAGGGTACTATCGAGCCGAGTCGAGCTCGAGTAGCACCATACTCGAGCTCGAACTCGATCAGAATCAGTGCGACTCAAGCTCGAACGAGTAAATAAATTTGGACTCGAGCTCAACTCGATAAACTAAAATTAAACTCGAGCTCGACTCTTTGAGTTCGATTAAATATCAAGCCCGACCTACTCGAGTTCGAGCTCGAGTTTTAAACTAAATCTATAAATTTTTCTCAAAATATATAATATAAATATAATATAAAAACTCGATTAAGCTTGTCGAGCACTCGAATATTTATTTTTGGAGGTCGAACTCGACTCATTGAATGTAATGAGTAGCTCGAACTCAAGCCAAGCTTTTGACTACTTGCGAGCGGCTTGACTTGATTGCACCCCTAGGCATGAGAAGGGTGAACTTATCAAGGCTAGAAATTCTGATGGCACAACTGTCTTTTTATCTACTGACATAAACCAAAGTTCATTTCATGGCTTTGACTATTTGATCTGCTAAATTATAATTGAGCCTGATTGCATGTGGCTACTTTAATTAACCTAAATTCATTCACATTAAAAACAGTATAACTTTCTTCTATAGATCAGTACGTTCACGTTAATTGTGGAAACATACATGAATTCGTTGTATTTGCTCCGCTAAGTTATTAGCAGAGCAACAAATCTAGACACGACCATTGTTTTCAACTAGTTTGATCTAAACCAGTCCTAATAGGACACCAAAAAAAGCATGTAGTCTTAATTTCTTTTTGGTTATAATAAAGTTTGGGTGGAGAAAAATATTATCTTATTCCAATTCAAAGCAGGCTAATGACGTATTTATCGGTACAAACAATGCTAGGAAATTGCACGACAAATTCTTCTGGAAATTCTCCATATGTCATATGAAGCACCTCGAAATCCTCCATGTCATATGGAGCGCCTTATAGTGGTTCTTATAGATTACTTGCTAATGAGAGACTGCTGATAACGAGAATTATATTTGAATTTTCATTTAGATAATGTGAACAAATCTTACCAACTGAACCAACTCTCATAAATACCAGTAATACAACAATATTCAAAATTAAAATGAATATTTCTCTTCAATGCAACTAATTGTGTCTTGACAATCAACCTTATCAATCCAATTTCAAATTCACCACCACCACGTGGGTCGTCAATTGTATGATGCAATTGCTTAGCAATTTCAGAAAGTTCCTTCCCCAGTTGACCACCAAATGAAATTTATACGTATAATGGAAAGTAAAACATGTGGAAATTTAGGTAAGGGAAGATCTAATAATCTCATAACACAAGGGATTATCTATTTGGGAGAAATATAGTTTTGGTCCCCAATGTTTAGACTATATGCCAAATTAGTCCCCAATATTTTCACAAAAAATAAATTTACTCCCCAAAATTCGTGATTTTAGACAGCTTTAGGACAACTAATGGAAAATCATCATAACTAATAGTTAACATCAAATTGGCACTAGTCAAAAGTTTTGAATTAGTATTTCTAATCCCTAATGTTTCAAGTTTGGATCATTATGGTCCAATGGGTTTTAAGTAGTTACAATTAGAGCTTTTAAAATAAAATAATATGTGAATTAAATTAAATGTACAACAAATATGTTCCTAAATTTCTATAAAATTTCATGAAAACACGTTATATTGACACAACATGGTGGTAGCCTATATATATCTTTGTTAAACAAATTACAATTTGGATGACAATATACCAATAATAAATAAAATATAAAGTAGTGGAAGAAAAGGAGAATTCTAGTTTTATAATTTAAGTTTGTCCTGGCCATAATTACTGGGTCCATGGCACAGTACATTCCCGCGCTTGAATTCTATACAGGCAGGTTACCTGTAGTTTCACCAGCCTATGTTTCTTCAGAGGCATGTTTTGGGATAAATTTGAAACCATTATGCAGTCCTTAAGATGTCTCATATACTATTATACCAAACATGGCTTACTATGAGTTCATACCAATTGGCAATCATCAAGATCCAAACTGCACCAATAGCAAGGATGCTCACTTGAAAGATCACACTGTGGATCATGCTAATGTTAAGATTGGCCAACATTACGAACTTCTTGTCACGACCTGCACAGGTAAGATCACTGTACTTTTGATCTAAAAAAAGATCTCTATACTTTTGATTGACCTAATTGCATATGGTATACTGTAGACGTGAACTATAGTTCTGTTAGTCTGTCCCATGAAGTACTCTGCAGACACAAAATTCCCTCTTGAACTGTTTGCATCTTATCACCAGAAGGTGTCTTCTGATTTCCATCTGAATCTATTTATCATGTTCTAAAATGGAAGCATCTCCATTTGTTTTTGCTTAGCAATGGCCATGAATATGTAATGTGCAAGAGTTGTTCTGATGTTCAAATTTGTCAGATACAGGTACTGCATTCTGGTTTTTCGTGCATCTATTATCCTGATAAACATAAACAATGATGATTAGGGAATTTAGAAGCTCAAACGCTCTAATATCTAGAATATTGATAGAAGCGTGTACTTTCAGGTTTATACAGGTACAGAATGGGGGATATTCTCCTGGTGACAGGTTTTCACAATATCACTCCCCAATTCAAATTTGTACAAAGGAGAAATGTGGTTTTGAGCATTGACACAGACAAAACAACTGAACAAGTCCTCCAGAATGCAGTTACAATTGCAATGCATCTCCTTGAACCACTTGGGTTCTTTCTTTTGGATTACAGTAGCTATGCTGATACATCCTCTATTCCTGGTCACTATGTACTCTTTTGGGAGCTTCAACTGAGATCCAATGATGACTTTCCTGTACTTGATCAGGTTAAAATGGAAAAGTACTGTAGTTTAGTGGAACAATCTTTGGATCTGCAATATAAGATGCTGAGGAATCAGAGCAACACCATTGGCCCTTTGGAAGTAAGAGTTGTCAAACAAGGTTCATTCAATGTGCTCATGGACTTTTATGTTTCTCAAGGAACTTCTTTAAACCAGTACAAGACACCTAAGAACATAAAGTCTGAGAAAGCCATTGAAATTCTGGACTCCAGAGTAGTGGGAAAATTTTACAGCAGAGAAGTGCCTAATCAAGACTCGTAGCCTGTGGTCTTCAAGAATCTTTTTGCATATTTCATCCTTGGTCATATACCTTGTCTTGCAATGTCGAAATGTAAAAGTACTTCACCATTGTATGGACGTATTTGTTTTCTACATTTTTCAGTTTGTTTGTGAAGCTTGGTGGATGAGGATAGTATCTGAAACTCTTGTACTCATCAAATTGAGGGTAATGCTATTATAGTAGCAAAAGATGTTACACTCCTCTCATGGAGTCTCCTAGTGAGAGTTTATTCTCTCAGGGATTTTGAGTGACAGTTCTCTCCTCTCCTAGAGATTTCTAATGATAGCTTTTGTAGTTTTTTTGCTATTTTTTGTATTAGATCTAAGTTTTTGCATATTTGGTTGTCGGATCTGAAATCTTTTAGATCTACCTCGTTAGATCTCACTTTAACATCTGAATTTAAATCAGCTCATTAGCAGATCTGGGAGAAAAAAAGCATTGGAAGCATGCATAGATGATATTGGGACAATAAGTGTTTTATCTTTTAATATTTTTGGAGTTTCACAGTGTAATATTCTATTAAATTTCTGGATTTGTAATATCTAAACAAATACGACTAATTTTGGTTTTCATTTTTCTTTCTCTTGAAAAGATCATCTGACTCTTCTCCACTTTGCTTTCCCTTGGAATGCCCTTTGCAGCACATATATTTCTTTATTTAATTCTTGGGCGATGAAGGTGACACTAGGAGATGGTGTTATTTTGTTAATTGTTATCAATTGAAAGCAACTTTTTTTGGTTTAAAGTATCCTTCATTTAAAGTCTGAAAAGGCCATTGAAATACTGGACTGCAGAGTAGTGGGAAGCTGTTACAGCAGAGAAATGCCTAATCAAGTATCGTAGCCTAGAGCTGAAGAATCTTTCTGTGCATTTTATCCTAGATGAAATACAAAGGCGGTTGTACATCTGGTCTTGCACTATTGATTTTTACAAGTACTTAGCTGGTCTTGCACTATTGATATTTACAAGTACTTCTTCACCATTATGGATGCATTTCTGTTCTGCTATGTTTTCAGTTTGTTTGTGAAGCTTGGTGGATGAGGATAGTACCTGAAACTCTCGCACTCGTTAAATTGAGGGTAATACTATTCTAGTAGCAGAAGATGTTTTCCTCATAACCAATTGGTTCTACGCCAAGTGTAATTAAGTAATTATAAATACTTTCCAACATTAAATTCAAATAGAAGATGAACAAAATTCATCTTTCATCGATGTAACATAAAAATAAAATAATTAGTTTCGTTCAAGTAATTATGACATGATAAGAGGAGGCATGAATTAGATCGCTATTTTTCAAACGATTCACGCCCTTATATAGTATTATTTATGTATTAGGTCTCAATATGTTGCTTCTTAGATACAACAATCTAATTTTTCCTACATTGTAACCTACTTCAATTTAAACAATTGAAAATAAACAAAAACCTAACCTAAAACCGTTCTTTGCCCCATATAAAAATAGTCCAATAATACATACATCTCTCTAGTGTATTATTTTCGTAGTAGCAGCAACTTTAGTAGAAAAATAGGGATGATTTCAGAAACCTCCTCTGAGGTTTCTCATAATATCACTCAACTCCTCTGAGGTTTCTAAAATCTCACTTGTCTCTCGTGTCAACTTGATAAGACTAAATATTCTTATCAGATGTCACAAATCCACAATATTACCCTTACTCTTAATAACTATTCAACCAAAAAATCAAAACAAAATAAAATTTTTAAACCAAAACATGTAGATTAGAACAAAAAAAAAATTGTTATCTGATAATGGTCTATATTTCTCTATATCGAGATCATGGTGAGATTGCAAAGGACATGGATAACTTAAATCTAGTTAAAATCAACCACTTAGGAGGATTTTGGTGTAATTAACACCTTGAAAACTTTCGTAAACAGTTATATGAAAGTCAAGAAAATTTCTTAGAAATTACATTGAATACATGATGTTGTTTAACTTGTATTGAAAAATTAAAATAATCTCTTCATATATGTGAATTCTTCAAGGTGTAAATTTTGCTTTGTTTCAAAACAACTAAAATAAATAGTTTAAGTGAAGAAATTCACATGTTATAAAAAGTTAACCTTATTGTATTTTTTATTGTTGTTGGAAACTTTATAAGTAGGATAACATAAAGATAGTACTGTAATAAAAGTTTTATCTTTCTTGCATTTCCTTCAAAGGGACTAAAATGTTACAATAAATGTCAATTTAAGAGAAGTAAATGAGATTTTAAAAATCTCAGGGGAGCTGAGTGATATTATGAGAAAGGGGAGGTTTCTGAAATTATCCCAAAAAAATATCGTACAAGTATCCCCTCATGAATACGTAAAATTAGAAAGATTAGTGTAAAAAAATATAAAAATAATGTATTGTTTAAACCTCTATTGATAAAAGTACAAAAAGGGCGAGATGGTGTTGACTCTTTCAATCACTTTTTATTCTCACTTTCCATTCTTCCCAATTACAACTAATGAACATTCACTAAATACCTTTATCATCCGATACATGTAATGTAAGGACTATAATTATACAACTTTATACTAGCGTTACATTTTCTATATTAAGAGTTCTTTTTCATGTGAATGTATAAATAATCAAACTCTTTTTTCCAAAATAGAAAACCTATTGCTTTACATCCTCTAATAAGCACTGAATGTTAAGGTTTTCATACAAAGGCTTCCATTTGGAAATCAGAAGTAAAATTCCTAAAAAGACACTTATTAAGAATTAAGGATAAAAATTTAGTATTATGTTATGGATAAAAATTCATATAGTGTAGCTAAATACTATTTTCACACAACAAATTACTTAATCCAGTACATGAGAAAAAAAATTCTAAGAGACTGTCTCTAGCAACTGGACCAAAGCCCAATGGTTAACGTTTCTTTTTCCTGCCCGATCAAGTTACTTTTCAGCATCCTATTGCTCAAAAGCTGTTAATATGTTGCTTAGCAATACAGATACAGTTCTTGATCCTATTGTCGTTTACACTAATGACGACGAGATTTTAATATTTTATGTTTACACTGTCGAACGGTTTGCATTTGCAGATTGAAAGTCAAAATGGATACTCGTCTTTATTTTTCTTTCCTTCATGCAACAATTCATGTACCATTCCTACTATATATTACTCCCTAGATAGAGGATAAGGGGAAGCTAATGGAACTTGTGTATGGGATAAGAGGAACTTACCAAATCTCTCTCAAATCTCTTTTGATAGCCTACAAACTAAACCCAAAGGCAAGTTGATTACGTGTCTAATCACGTGAACATTAAACTATAAAACAGTCTTGATTCCCTTAATTGTTGATGACTACTTCATCTCTACTATACAGGCATCCCAAAAAAAGAAAGCTTCTTCTTCTGCTGTTCCTGTCTTTATTTTTAATTTTCTTCGAAGGTTTTTAGTCTATTGTTTTCAGTGTGTTTAAATAAATCCCTTCCTTTGTTCTTCTTACTTTTGGTTTAATGAAGGGTTTATTCTTCTTATCCCGTAATCAACCTATTGATCTTATTCTCTTAAGGATCAGGGAGGAAGAAAGAAGACAAAATAACAAGAATTTGATAATGAGGTATTTTCCTTTTCCCTGGTTGGGAATTTTCAATCACTAAACTTTTGTTAATCAATTTTTCTTGGCGATATTTTGATTTTCTTCAAGTTTATTGGAATATTTTGTTTCTTTTTACTGCAACAGAATTCTCAGCTCCTAGTAAAGTGATAGTATTAGAAAGGCTTTGTCAGATCAGTGATGTTATACTACATTTGTGCTATAAAATTGTACAATATTTTGCAATGAATGACAGCATATTCAAGAGGTGTTATAGAATGTTTTGTTATATAATTACTTGAAAAAACCTTTGAAAATAATAATATATCATTTTTAAGATGTAATGTATGTAAAATATTAAAAAATAGGATTCTCATAATGTGGTAACTCTCATAGGTGGCCGATCTAATAAGGACCTTTATAAGATGAAAAAATATCAAGCCTTTCATTGACCGAATAGCCGCTGGAGAGCCATCTAATTTAATATCTGCTGAAACCATTACTGAGCCAATCATAAGGTAGATAGATGATAGTAATTTGAGAATTTCAAGAATTGTAGCATCCCGTGGAAATTTAATATAGTGCAATCACATTGCCAATGTAAATTACGGATTACGAAAATTACTTCCATTGATCAACGTAAAAAGTTTTTTTTTTTTTTTTGGTGTTTTATTACCACTGTGATTTTTGAGTAGTCTTGTAGAAATATTTGCAGCTCAGGTACTTCAGGAGGGAAGCACAAATTGATCCCAACAACCGGTGAAAACAGCAATCCAAAGAAGAAAATTTTAGATTGTGCACCATGAGGGTATAATAGTTAGTAATGGGTAAATTGGTCATTATAACCATGGGAACAGAGTTGAGTATACTTCTTTAGATTTGACCACCGGTCAAAATGCTTATATTTCAAGTTAAGAGTTGCAAACTTCAAGGGTGAAAATTCATCATTTAACTTTTTTAAATGACATATTTCCTTCTATGGGAGAATGGTAATTTTATCCAATGGCATGAGAAGGGTGAACTTATCAAGGCTAGAAATTCTGATGGCATAATTGTCTTTTTAGCAACTGACAGAAACCAAAGTTCATTTCATCGCTTTGACTATTAGTCATGGGGTTTGACCTGCATACTTGGTGAATAAAGGGGCTAAATTATAATTGAACCTGATTGCGTGTGGCTACTTTAGTTAACCTAAACTTATCAAGGCTAGATCCATAACTCATTCACATTAAAAACAATATAACTTTGTTCTATAAATCAAGTTAGTTGTCGAGACATATATTAATTTGTTTTGTTTGCTCCACCGTCAACTAGCCATCATAAACTTTGAGGTTCATCAAACTCTTAGGAATAGAGTAGGAATACAATGTTGCAAATTTTGAGGTTTGCATCCCTAATATGAAGTGTCTTTATAGTGGTTCTTATAAATTGTTTACTAATGAGAGATTACTGGTAGTGAGACTTGTATTTAAAATTTCATTAGATAATGTGAACAAACTTTACCAACTAAATCCACTCTCATAAATACCAGTAATACAACAATATGCAAAATCAAAATGAATGTTTCTCTTCAGTGCAACTAATTGTGGCTTGACAATCAATTTTATCAATCCAATTTCAAAATCACCACCACCATGTG